GGGTTACTTTCCAATTGTGATCTTCGCAGTGTCAATTGTGATTGGTTGTTGGGAGTGTGTCAGAGAGAGAGAAACACAGTGTGTATTCTCCCCTTCTGTGCATAATTGCCGCTGCTCTCTCTGATATGTGTGCAGTTGGACTTTGTCTCCTCCTCCCCCTTGTCTCATGCATGTATGGGCGTGTGTGAGTTCTTCTGTGTGTGAGTGGCAATAAAATTGTCAGACAACCAAGTTCAAAACACGTGGGCTATGCACCCACCGACTCTCACGCATGTTACCCCATCTGTTCGAGCACCGAGACGGGTAGGATAGAGCAACTTTGTCAGCACCCCGAATACGCAGAACCCCGAACGGCATCGCTAAAAAAGGTGTGTGCTGTCCTAGACTGTTGTGACGGCCACTGGCGCGGGTTCTTTGTCGTTCCCTGGTGCAATGTTGGTCACTACAGCCCGTGCTGGCATGCACCCCTGCGTTCAAGGTCAACGAAGGGGGTCATAAATGCACATCAGGTTGCCAGTGAGAAATATGTGGTTGGGGGCAGCGTTATGAGGTACGTTGCTTCCTTCCTTGTCTACCCTCTTCATTGCCTCTTACCGTGAGGAAGTGAGTCTTGTCTTGAGAGTCCTCTCAATGTGAGGTGTCGCGAGCGCTCAACCTTGAGAGTCGACATTCTTCCTGGGCAGCAAGCTGGTGGGAGACGGGCGATGCCTTTGAAGGGCCCTGGACGGAGCACTCGGGTCACGGTCACCATGCCAACCCGCTGGGACTAGTACACACATACTTACGCAAGTCCTTGGTTCCGCTGCTGCACTCTAGAGGTTATGCAGGGCATGCCAGCCCTTTGAACAAACGCTTACCAGACCGTCTTTAAATATTTTTGGCGGGGACTCGGTGTTGATTCTGGCTGTGATCGTTGTTCTGTCTGTGACGTTAAGTAATTCCTGAGGAGTTACGGGGGATCTCGTTAAATGCCTCTTGATCAGCCAGATCAAACCGGGTGTAAGGCTCATTGCATGCGAGGATAAATAAAGTGCAGGGGCTGGCAGGTTCGACATTGACTTAGGGCACAGGGGTGGGCCGGATTGCACACCTTCAGACACGCTGCTCAACCAGATGCTCGTTGGCACAAAGCGACTACTCAAAAGGGATACAGGGTGAGGGTTGGATTCCGGTAACTGTTCGTTGTGGCACTAATTAGATAAACTGCCATCCAGCATACATCTCTGCAGGAGATGTTATTTTTATTTTTGATTATTTAGTTGTTACGGACTTGACTAACAACTGATAGACGGCTGCAGATAGAGTATATTCTTTGTTGCAATGCCATCTGTATTAGAGTAATCTAAAAATAGATTTAATATCTTCCGTAGGATCTGACATTGGTTGACACCTAACCACCTAACTGTTTTTGTCCAGACCGACCGAATTTAGTTGTGCATTATAATCGGTTGCGTCATGCTGAGGTAGGATTCAATGTGGATTCTAGTTTAGATCACACACACTCTAGCTCATGAGTGATGCAAGCACTAGTAAGGAGGAGTTGTTAGTGGACGACCGTAGGACTGTTCTCAGTCGACCTTTGACTTTCCTAGAGTTAGGTCCAGGAGACGAGAGGAGACTGCGGAGAGAGGCTAGAGAGAGAGCAGCAGCAAGGAGAGCGAGGGACGCCGCGGCCAACGCCAGGTCTAGGACTACAGCTAGTACCGGTACGACCATGGCTACTTCCTCTACCATGTCGCAGGCTTCTTCACAGGCCACTTCGTCAGGAGTTAGTCAGAGTGGTTGTCGGGTTTCCATTAGCCAGAGTGCTGGCTTGCAAGTCAGCCAACAGACTCAACTCACGTCGGAAATCCTCCAAGCAGAAGAACTTTAGGATGAATTGCAGCGCCAGTTGGATGAAGCAACAGAGAGAAGGAGAGCTATAATGAGGAAAGCTAGACTAGGTAGTAGATTGCAGGAGCTAGGCAAGCTAGAAGCACTAGATGAGTCAACACTTGATCCTGCGATGCGAGCACTGTGTAACTCGCTCCTGTGTGTGGCAGAGACGAGGTAGTTCAACAGGAGGTGTTGGCTGAGCTAGTGGCAGGCCATAAACGAATTTTGGTTGCATTACAGGCTCCTCATCCATTGACGAGGCAACCTTAGTTTGCTGTAGCTCCCCCTTCGGGTGCGGGTCCATCAGTGACGCTGCCGCCGATAGGGCCTTCATTTACACCTATGTTTGGCATGCCCCCTCCGGGTGGTTACGTAGCAACTAGTGGTCCGGTTCATAGAGTCTCAGTCGTACCATCAACGACAGTGGTTAGTACAGTCCCACTGTCAACCCGGGCCCAGGGTAGTGTGCAGCAACCTGTTTCGGTGGCTATGCAACCTCTGCAGCAATCCCTTGGGCCCATGCAACCCATGCCCAAGATCCCCTTGCTTAGTCCTAAGCCCTTCTTTGGCGACAAGAAGAAGGATGAGGACCTGGACACCTGGGTAAGGACTGTGCCTACCTATGTGAGGCACAAGCTTACCAGGCCAGAGCAGGAATAGTGGCTGCCTCCTTTTTAGAAGGATCAGCAGCACGCTAGTTAAATGGTCTGGTGCAGCAATCGGGCTATGATCAGAATTTCGATGCCTGGGCCCAATCTCATACATTGGAACATTTCGTACGGACTGTGTATGCTAGGTGGCACGACGCGCAAGGTGCTCAAAAGGCCACCGACGCGATCAACGGTCTGAGTACCAAAAGGTACCAGACTGTTTGCGAAGTCACAAACGTCGTTCTCATTTTAGTATTTTGTAATACTTTAGGTTTACTTGTGTTATTAGGTCATCGTGGTACCGGGTGTGCAGTATAACCCACAGGTACTCCTCACAGATTATTGCGATGTTTACCTATAGACGTCAAGAATAAACTGATGGATTAGGCCTGTATAGACCAACATGACTTCGCTTCTTTCAACAAGAAGTCCTTAGATATAGAGGCAAAGCTTGGGTCGGCTCGTCAGGGACCAGTAAATGGTAGGAGGAAGAAGCTTCCCCAAGACTGAAAGAAGAAAGGTCAACTCATGTTTGTCGACCACGATGCTCAAACAACTGAGACTGACGAGTTCCCAGACTTAGGGGAGGAGAGAGAGCAAGATGGGGCCAATGAGACTTCGGATGAGGGAGTCGTGGCACCCATCCGAGAAAAGGCTAGGGGGATCGGGAAGAAGAAGGTAGTACGGTCCATGGGCCAGGCGACCAAGGAACGCCCGCCTGGGTAAAACTTGGTTTAGATTACGAGGTTTGGCGTGACCAAGTTGCTAGGGGTACTTGCATGAACTGTGGCAACTATGGCCACACGGCCAGGACATGCCGAGGCAAGAAGTCACTACGAAGGTGGCATCACCAACTGTGGTAAGCTTATCTTCGAACCCTGGCAGTGCTTCTGCCGAGCACTTCGCAGGGAAACACCTCGGGCCAATAGGAGTTTTAGCCGCTCTTACTGGCGCTGAAGTGGTTACGTTGCCTTCTCCACTTCATGTGTTGGCCAAGGCTAGTGGCCCACACATCGCCCCGCAGACACATTCAGACCCACCGACGCTCTGTTCGAGAGATGTGTCGGAGTCCCTAGAAGAGTTACAATCTGAGTGGTCAGGGAAGGACCCCAGAGATTCTTGGGCGATGATTAGTAGAGGTCCAAAGGGTGAGCATTTCGTGGTAGAGGTTGATGTAGGTGGTCGCAAAGTTGGCGCCTTTGTAGACACAGGCTCTACGCGGAGCTTCATCAGTCGTGCTTGTGTGGATAGACTGCGCTTAGGGGACCAAGTGCAGCGGCTTAGCAGAACTGTAGCTTCTGCACCGGCCAACAAGCACCAAATGTTGGTTAAAGACCATGTCAAGGACGTAGTTTGTACCTTCTCCTATGGAGGAGGGGAAGTGAGACATAAAATCTCATTCCTCGTTAGCGACGAACTGCCCTTCGATATGCTATTAGGCATGTACTACCTCGAGGTCGCGCAGCCTCAGTTTGATTGGGATAGGAAGGTGTTGATACACAAGTTGTCAAACGGTAGAACCGTTAGACTGCAAAAGTACAAAGCTAGCAGTCTAGTGGAGAACTACGGCTACATGTGTGCTTCGTCTTGCTTTAACTACTACAAGCAGAATTGCGAGGAGGGCATGTATCTAGTCTTTGTCTCTACAAAAGGGGAGGCCGTTAAAACACCCCTAGAGATAGAATCAATCGTCGCACAATATTCCGACCCTTTTGAGGAGCCCACAGGCGTGGTAGAAAGGGAGGTGGTCCATGTGATAGAGGTTGTCCCAGGTAGTAAGGTACCTAGAGGACGAATCTATAGGATGTCTCCTGCGGAGTTGGATGAGCTCCGCCCCCAGCTCAAGGAGCTCACAGAAAAGGGATGGATTCGGCCTAGTACCTCCCCTTACGGTGCACCAGTTTTATTTGTCCCAAAGAAGGGAGGTACCTTGAGGATGTGCATTGACTATAGGGGCCTCAATGCCATCACTGTTAAGAACGCGGAGCCCCTACCCTGCATCGACGACCTACTGGATAGAGTGCAGGGATGTCGGTACTTTACTAAGATAGATCTAAAGTCCGTATACCATCAAATTGCTATTAGACCTGAGGACCAGCACAAAACCACATTTCAGACCAGGTACGGTATGTACGAGTTTGTGGTGATGCCCTTCGGCCTATGCAATGCGCCTGGGACATTCCAGCACGCAATGAACAGGATCTTTCATGATTACTTAGATAAGTTTATCGTCGTGTACCTCGACGATATCCTCATCTTTAGTAAAACTGTAGAGGAGCACGCTTGGCACTTGAAAATAGTGCTAGGGCTCCTAAGACAGTACCAATACAAGGTTAACTTGGATAAATGCGAGTTTGGTTGCACCAAGATGTTGTACTTGGGTCATGAAATTTCAGCAAAAGGGTTGAGGCCAGACGATGCAAAGGTGGCCAACATTTGTGACTGGCCCAGACCTCAGGATGTTACTGAGGTCAGATCGTTTTTGGGGATGACGGGCTACTACAGTCCGTTTGTGAAGAACTATAGTACTTTCCCCATTAACAGATCTAACTCGACCTGACACCCCTTGGGAATGGACAGAAGAGTGTGAGGCAGCCTTTAAGAAATTGAAGTATGCTCTAACACACTAGGAAGTCCTCAAGCTCCCGGATCCTGATCAGCCCTTCGTCGTGACCACAGACGCCAGCCAATTTGGCATAGGCGCGGTCCTTGTGCAAAAGGCTGGGAAAAAAGTTGAGACCTATCGAGTATATGAGTAAAAAGATGCCATCTCAGAAACTAGCCAGGTCCACTTGTGAGCGTGAGCTCTATGCCCTGTATAGAGCGCTAGTACATTGGAGACACTATCTCCTTGGCAGATTCTTCTATGTGAGATCTGACCATGAGACCTTGCGCTGGATTAAGACACAGCCGGTACTCCCTGACGCACTCAAGCGAGGGATTCAAGTGATAGACATGTATGGCTATCAACTTGATCCAATAAAGGGAGAGTACAATAAGGTAGTTGATGCATTGTCACGTTGGGCAGATTACCTGGGCGCACTAGTAACTGAATTTGACATATGTAACGACTTAACTCGATCATTGGTGGAAGCCTATCAGCAAGATCCAGTTATGTCTGAGATCATCCGTAGATTCCAAGCAAAGGACAAAAAGACTTTGGAAGAATTTACGATGGTAGACGGCTTGCTGTTTCTTGAGAAGGTAGGGAATAAAAGATTGTGTGTTCCCAGTAGTGAGTCTATGCATAGTTTATTTTTAGGGGAATGTCATGATGCAACTGGTCATTTTGGTTATAACAGGCTTCAACTAATCTAGTACAGAAGTTCTGGTGGCCGACTATGATGCAAGATGTAAAAAAGTATGTTGAAACCTGCCAGGTTTGCGAAAGGGACAAACGCAGGACTCGGGCTCCGCTTGGGCTCATCAAGCCCTTGCCGATTCCTGAAGGTCCTGGTCAGTGTGTTCATGGATTTCATGGATACCCTCGCGACCAGCAGGTTTGGAAAAAGACACATCTTCGTGATAGTGGACCGCTTTTCTAAGTATGCAAGACTAATCGTTATGCCAGAAACTGCTAAAACAGACTATGTCATCAACTGTTTCTGGATAATTGGGTCAGGGATTTTGGACTACCTACGTCAATAGTAAGTGACAGGGATGTAAGGTTCACCAGCGAACTGTGGCAAACGACAGCTGAACAGATGGGTACCAAGCTCCAAATGACGTAAGGGAATCACGATGAGTCAAATGGCCAGGCAGAACAGATGAACCGGGTAGTACAGCACCTGCCTCGACATTATATTAAGCCAAGTCAGGATGACCCGGACCAGAAGTTACCTCTCGTCTCGAGCCTGTATAACAACGCTGTTCACAGTACTACTGGTATGACTCCCAACCAGCTGCATCATGGTTGGAAGCCCAGAAGTGCACTTGACTTTCTGCTACCAGAAAGGCAACCCACTGCAGCACCTGGCAGCATAGAGTTTGCTGTCAAGTATGAACAGATGCTGCAGCAGGCCGTTGAACATATTAGGAAGTCTCAGGAGGCTATGATCGCATCTGAGAATAAACATAGACGGCCCTCTAACTTTCAGGTAGGTGATAGAGTCTGGGTTAAGTCATCTGAACTAGGTCAAGAAATGGGGATTTCACAAAAACTAATGCCACAGTACTTTGGGCCCTGGGAGATCTTAGACATTGTAGAGGATCAACCGGATGGGCCTTCATACGTGATTCGCATCCCTCCACACTTGCATACTTACCCTGTTTTCCATGCATCCAAGCTGGCACCTTTCGCTGCCACCGATCAGTTTCCCTCCAGGAGGTCAATGCTGCCCCCAACAATGAATGGCGAAGTGGACATAGACCAGATCGTGGAGCATCGTCTGATGCCAGTTCCTCGACCAATGGGCAGAGGCTGCCCTCCTAAGCCAAAAATGCAGTACCGTGTCAGATTCAAACATCATCTGGACCACAGCGAAGATCGGTGGTTCACCCGAGAAGAACTCATGAGAACTGCACCTCCAGTCATTGCAGGCTATGAAAGAGATTTTAATGGGAAGATGCCTGCAGAATAGAAAACTTCTCAGAGGACTATCGAAGTACAGGAGGAGGGAATGCGAGGATATGGGTCCTCGGCAGGCCTAAGGGGCCCCTTGCAGCATATGTGCCCGCCCTAAGTGAAGGTGGGCCTAACAAATCACGAGAGGCCCTTGGTTGTCAATTTCGCATTTGGGGGTCCAGGCAGTTTCGTCGCGGCAGTTGGTTGAAAGGAAACACAGGCTGAGCAGCGAGGAAATTCCCAGGCCTTCTAGGCCTTTCCAAAAGCTCAGGCCCTGGGCCAGATTCGCAGCCTCATACCTAGACAGTTGGGAGGCCCAACCGAACGAGGCCCAGTAGCTGCACCAGAGGCGCAGCATCCTGGGCCCTACCGGAAGCTTCCGGGCACAGGCCAGTCCGGCCAGGCTGCCGAACGAGGCAGGCTCTTTCCATACAGGAAAGAGCTCGCTGCCTGGCCAAGATATTCGGGCACTTGCTGGCTGGCGGCAGCGCTGCTGGAGCGATAGCTCGCGTGCTGGCTGCTGGCATTGGAGCAAGAGGCTGCGCACGTGCGGTCGTGTGGTGAAGAAGGGCGCTGCTGAGGGCAGCGCCATAGCCCAGCCTCCATAGCTGGCTGTGGGCTTGGACATACAGTGAGGCGCAGGGGTGGTCTTCGGGTGTAGAACAAAGGGAGACGTGGGAGAGAGTCAAGGGGGAGAGAGAAGGATGATGATGATGATGTGAGGGCACATACCTGGTATTGGCGATGGTTCTGCATGGGCAACATCTTCAAGTACTTCGGGTGCTGCTGACGTCAACAGTTGCATTGCAATTAGTAGGCTAGTAGTAGGGAGTAGGCTGGGCGCCGAGCGCCAGGTAGGGAGATAGAGACTGGATACATATGTTGGTGGTGGCGAGAGCAAGCTCTCATTGACATTGACTTTCAGTGCTACGATTCTCCATTGGTGTTATATTGGTGCAGTGCTGCTTCCTGAACACTGTGTTACGATTTGGCTTTCAATGTGATTGTGTAATCTGAATATTGTCATCTCGCTTCTGTTCATTTCCCTTGCAATACTGTCAAAGCAGTAGGTAGAGTTCTCCCCTAGTGGCCCTGGAGGGGGGGGGCGGGGGGGCGGGCAGAGGTCAGTTCCTGTCAGTTTTTCGTATTTTGCTCTATATTAGTTCACCCAGAACCTAGTTGGGCTACTCACGCTTCTCTGTCCCGGACCAATAGGTAGTGCATCATCTCACTCATGGTCTTTTTCTGGTGTGTGTGTGTGTGTGTGTG